CAGGTCCCTGGAATGTAGGTGGGGTGGCCTGGGAGCTCTCACACCAGTGTGACCACATTGGCAAGGACTGGGTTACTCTCTTTTCATCTGCACTGTCACCACAGTTCCTGGCATATGGCTGTGTCTGCTGAGGTTCCACTGGCTGAGCCTGAAGCTGTGGTGTCGGGCAGTGCCAGAGGGAGCATAAGACTTTCAGCCTGCCCATCGCCCTGGGGATGCCCAGGAGCTCCAGCCCTAAGCTCACACCAGAAGGCCACACCCTCACTCTCCCAGCTGCTGTGGGCCTCTGGGGGACGGAGGGCAAGTAGGGAAAGCTAGGGGCATCTGAATGGTCAGACAAGTGCTCCTTTGACTGAGTGATCAGTGGGAGAGCTTTTGAAAAATACAGTGACTCGCCCCCCCAAGCTCTGGTAAGCGGCTGCCCCAGTGCCATGGGTGTTCTAGAATCGTAAAAAGCTAGGAAAATTCTGGAACAAGCGGAATAGGGAAATTAAGGCAGATAGTTAAACAGCACTTACAGCCACCTCGTAAATCCTATTTTCCCTAAACCAAGGACACTTAAGAGTAAATGGCTTTGCCTGACCAGCGCAGCTCGGTGGTTGAGCATCGATCTATGAGCCAGGAGGTTTCAGTTTGATTCCTGGTCAGGGCATATGCCCGGGTTGCAGGCTTGATTCCCAGTGTGGGGTGTGCAGGAAGCAGCTGATCAATGATTCTCTCTCATCATTGATGTTTCTCTCTCTCTCCCTCTCTCTGAAATCAATAAAATATATTTTAAAAAAAAAGAAGAGTAAAAGGTTTGCACTTCTTACCAACCAGAGAGTAAATAGCTTAAATCACCCTACACAGGGATACAAATAACAGAAATCCAATTAAGTGCCATTTGCCAACCACACCCAAGGACAGACAAATTAAGAGAAAAAATCTAATTTTGGTAATCAGCATAAAGCTGAATATTTTACTGACCTGCCCCTAAGACCTCCCCTAAACATCCAGACTTTAAAACCCCTGAAAATGAAGGTGCCTCCCCCCTCAGGCACATGTCCCCTGACCTCTAGGGACCCCATGAGCCTGGCAGTTGGGAGAGCAATGATCCTGTTTCCATGTCCTTAATGTGTTTTTGCTGTGGTCAGTAAACTCTTGCTTACTTTTCTACACTTTGTCTCTTGATGGAAATCTTTCCCGCAAGAAGAGGAGAACTGAGGGCTCCTCTCTCCCAGGTAACAGATGGTCTACCTTGGTAACATCCCCCGCCACCTGCAGCAGTTAGTAACGGCTTTCCCTGCCCAGCACCAGGCAGCCTGATTCTCCCTCAGTCCCAGCTCAACGGGCTCCACCCTCCACCTGCACTTCCTGCTCCAGGACAGGCTGGAGCAGTGGTTCTCAACCTTCCTAATGCTGCGACCCTTTAATACAGTTCCTCATGTTGTGGTGACCCCCAATTTCATTGTTATAAATTGAACATAATTAAAGCATAGTGATTAATCACAAAAACAATATGTAATTATATATGTGTTCTCCGATGGTCTTAGGCGACCCCTGTGAAAGGGTCGTTTGACCCCCAAAGGGGTCGCGACCCATAGGTTGAGAACCGCTGGGCTGGAGGATGCGCATCTTTGCCTGACCTGGTCTGGGAAGAGTTGGTCCTGAACTTCCAAACTCTGAGGAGGCGGCCCCTCTTTCAGTCACTTGTTATCTGAAGGAGGGAGGGGAGGGGATTCATTCCAGCCAGATCCAGGTATTTCCAGAGAAACAGAAACCTGGATATTCATGTGAAATCTTCTGAGTTTTAAATACCAACATCTGGTTTGGGATTTTAAGCAAGCTCTGCTGCAGGCACACAGGCCCTGCTATTCTGGGAGCAAACCTGTGAGACCCTGACCTCAGGGCCTTTGCATTTGATTCTGCTCTGCCCAGACTGCTCTTCAATAGCTGCATGGTTCACTCCCTACTTCCTCCAGGTCTTAGATGCGGACTTCTCCCTGAGACCTTCCCTAGGCAAAAGGAAACCCTCCCAGGCCCAGGCTCAGCACTCTCACCCCGTCTCCCTGATTTATTTTTCTCAATAGCATTTATTATCTACAATACGGATCAGGGAACTACTGCCCACCGGCAAACCCAGACGGCTTCCTGTTTTTGTAAATAAAGTTTTATTTGCACACAACCATGCCTATTTGTTTATATACTGTCTATAGCCCCTTCAGTGCTACAATGACAGTTGAGCATTTGCAACAGAGACCAATGCCCTATGAATCCTCAAATATGTGCCCCCTGGTCCCTTAGAGAAAGTAGGCTAACCCTAACCTAAAATACCAGAATGTAGGCTCCACGAAGGCAGGATTTTGTCAGTTTTGTTCACTGCCATTTGGACAGCACCAAGTAACAGCACCTGGCATTTAAGGGACTCTAAATCAGACTACTTCATGTCCTTGTGTATGCCCTGCTCTTGGCCCTTCCTTCTTCACCATGCATCCTTCATGGCTCTGCTCAGAGTCCCTCTAATATGATGCCTTCCTTGTCCCCTGCTCGGGGCACCCCCGCCCCCCGATACAATCAGTCCCTTCTTTTGTGCATGTCTTTTCTCATCTTACATGGAAATGACCTGTCTGCTTGTTCAAGGAGCTCATCTGTGCCAGAGCCTGAATGCCTGGCACACTGTAGGGCTCTCAAACGACTGCTGACTGAACCTGTGGATGAATGAATTCGGGTTCAAAGGAATGCATCAACGTCCCGGAATGCAGAGGACCGCCTGGTCGTGCATTCTACTTTCTAAAGGTGGCAAAGAGACACGTGGCTGAGAGGTTCAATGGAGTCACCTTAGCAAAGTGCTCTGAGTCACTGAGAGCCCCAGGAAAATCAGGACACCTCCCCTTACTGGTCTCCAAGACATCCATCTCCTGCACCAGCCATCCTGTGGCCCCAAGCAGCCCCCAAACCAGTGGTCGGCAAACTGCGGCTCGCGAGCCACATGCGGCTCTTTGGCCCCTTGAGTGTGGCTCTTCCACAAATACCACGTGCGGGCGCGCACGTACAGTGCGATTGAAACTTCGTGGCCCATGCACAGAAGTTGGTATTTTGTGGAAGAGCCAAGCTCAAGGGGCCAAAGAGCCGCAGTTTGCTGACCACTGCCCCAAACCAACCGCCCTGTGGCAATCCCCTGCCCATCCATACCTCATACTCTATGGCGAGGTCTGTGTGGTCGTCAATATCCACCTTGGCCATCACCACCTTTCCATGCTGCTTGGCCACCACCTTCTCTAACCTTGGCCCCAGGATCTTGCAGGGGCCACACCACCTGGGAAGGGGAGAAAGGAAGCACCCCGTCACAAAAGCACTCACCAGCTGACCTACAGGCTCCCCAGAACATGCCCTTGACCCACATCTTTCCGAGGGACCTTTTGCCCTTATTACCTCTGTTGATAGTGTTTGAATATTAACCTGTAATGCTGCTATGCCAAATGGCAATGCCAGGAGACTCGGTAACTGGGCCTCATCCTGAGACTCTTATAAAGGTTATTTCACTTACTTCGACAGAGCTAAAAGAAATGTGCTGTCATGTAGAAAAACACAGGACTTGAGGTTAAAAGGTTTGGGTTCAAAGAGAGGCTCCTCGCCAACCAGCTGATCGTTCTGGGGCCCGGTTTCCTCATGTGAAAAAGAGACTACTCTCAGGGCTGTGATGAGAAATCAGCGAAGGCAACGCGGGCAAGCATGCTCTGTAAGCTGTAGGATGACTTCTAAGACTTCCCTGACTCAGAACTAAAAGGAGGAGAAACCAATGGCTGGGCGGTGTCTACAATATGTCAGTCACTGTGCCAGGACCGGCTCAGCTTTCCCTACACAGAACCCTCCACCCCGCAAAGGAAAAGAAAACTGAGAAATGGAGGCCCGTGCAAGGTAAGAAACTAGCAAGGTCACAGCTAGTAAGAGGCACAGCGGAGACTGCAACCCGAGGTTGTGCTCCAAGTGATCCCCAGGCCCCGTGTCAGCGGCTATCGCTGCACTGAACACTGTGTTTCTAGGTGGTGAGCTTTCAAGAACAGGTTGTCATCCCCAGGTATGTGCACTAAGGATAGTGCCTGGCACTGAATGAACAAACTCACACCCTGCTTCCTTATTGGACAAGAAAATGAATTATTGTGGGGAAGCACGGGACTTGTTTGGGAAAGTCAGGCAGGGGCTGCCGCCTTCAGCAAGGTCCCCCCAGAGGCCCCCGACCTTTCAGAGAATCCTCCTTACAGACCTTCCAACCAAGTCCCGTGCTTCCCCACAAGGCATCACCCCATTTATCATTCATTTCACATTGATTTTTAGAGAGTGGAAGGGAAAGAGGGAGGGAGAGATCTGTTGCCTCCCGCATGTGCCCCGGCTGGTGCCGGGGGTCAAACCTGCAACCCAGGTATGTAACCTTGACTGGGAATCGAACCCGAGACCCTTCGGTGCGAGGGCCAACACTCTAACCACAGAGGCATACCAGCCAGGCTGTCATTCACTTTGGAAGCCCTCTCTGGAGCGCTCACTATACCAGGAGGGTAGAACAGCTCTGCCTTCCGTGAATCCCTGGCTGTTGACTCCTATTTCATTTTCAGCCTTTAAAACCCTTTCCATTCAGAGATTTCAACACCTCAAAACCCAGTCTGCAAGACCTTGTCTCCTATGACAAGCGAAGAAAGGGAAGTACAAGGGCATCAGATGGCCTTCCGGGGGTGACACGGTGAGTCAGAGAAAACAGGAAAAAAGCAAAAGAATCTGTCAGAGATCTGGCAGAAAGCCTCCCAACTTGTAACTCAGGCTACACTGGTTCCTTCTAGAACAGTGATGGCAAACCTATGACACGCAAACTCATTTTTTTGGTTGATTTTTCTTTGTTAAATGGCATTTAAATATATAAAATAAATATCAAAAATATAACTCTTTGTTTTACTATGGTTGCAAATATCAAAAAATTACTATATGTGACATGGCACCAGAGTTAAGTTGGGGTTTTTCAAAATGCTGACACGCCGAGCTCAAAAAGTTCGCCATCATTGTTCTAGAAAATCTCATTGAGGCGTTCGTCCAGTTTTTTTGTAGCCAGGCCCCAAAAGTCTAGAAGGGAAGAAGGCCATGCTAAAAGGTAGTAGGCCGTAGGCACTAAAACATCCTAAAAACAAACTCATACGGCCCTGAAAAGAAACTCCTGCCCATTCCCTGCACGCGTGGGCACTACGGTGGTGGCACTGAAAACTTTTAGCTATCCCGTCCCAGTTTGGGTGGCAAAATGTTAGAAATAAAATAAACTTACTTGCAGGCCCAGGAACTGGTATACACCCAAAGCCAGATGATGCTCTAGTTCAGTGGTTCTCAACCTTGGCTGCACATTAGAATCACCTGGCAAACTTTTTAAAATCCTAAATTCTAGACTCATCCTCCAGCAATTCTGTTTCTTTGTTATTTTTGTTCCACAACATTATTAACAAAGAATGAGGCCCAGAAATCAGGATTTTTTAAAAAATATATTTTATTGATTTTTTACAGAGAGGAAGGGAGAGAGAGAGTTAGAAACATCGATGAGAGAGAAACATCGATCAGCTGCCTCCTGCACATCCCCCACCGGGGATGTGCCCGCAACCAAGGTACATGCCCTTGACCGGAATCGAACCTGGGACCTTTCAGTCCACAGGCCGACGCTCTATCCACTGAGCCAAACCGGTTTCGGCCAGAAATCAGGATTTTAAAAAGATTCCCAGGTGATTCTAATGTGCAGCCAAGGTTGAGAACCACTGCTCTAAGTTATATTTTCCCTGCTTTGGTCTCAGCTGAACATGACGCTGAGCCATTTGGGCAGTGAATACAGAACACAGGTGGTTCCCAGCACTAATCACAGTGAGCTTTCAAGACTGTTTCCTGGTCTGTCTCCTACCAGACGACACTCAATCGCTGAGAGCACAGATTGGGTTTTCCCAGTATTTGTAGCAAGTCTATGTATGAGAAGCATCAAACGTGGCACTGAGACGTAGCTGGCACTCAAAATTATCTGAACAAGCGACACCCCATCTTCTCCTGGGCCCCAGGACTCACTGTGCATGGAAATCCACCACCACGGGTGTCTCACTGTTGACAACTCGGTCTTGAAAGTCAGGTCCATCCTGGATGTTGAAGGTTGTTGTGCAGACTCTGGTGGTGTGCAATGGCCGGGCTTGGCTGGATGTTACTGTCAGCTCACCAGGACTGTGTTGTGGGGCCTGCAGCGCCCTGGAGATGAGGGGTGCCCACCGACCTTGAGGGGATTTCCTGGAGATGCCGGAGGCCAGGAACCTCCTCAGGAGAAGTCGCTGAGCCATCTGTGAGGGGGAGAGGCAGGAAGAGCTGTAGCAGAGAACCGGAGCAAGGTATGTGGGAGGACCGGGGGGCTCAGGATTCAGGGCTGGGAGCAAAATGCCAGGAATTATATAAGCTTTCCGGAGTGGAGGTGAGTGAAGAATGAGGATCAAAGGGAAGAAGGAATTGCAAACCAGGACAGGAAAATTGGGTTGACAACCAAAAAGAAATCAGGGTATCGGTGTTATTTCAACAGAAGAATTGGCGGGGGAAAAAACACAGTATTTACTGCTAAGGGCCACGTGCCTTATATACATGATTGTCCTCCCAGACCAACTTTTGAGAAAGTTTCTACATATAGTATTGCCGGTATTACAGATAGGAAAGCGGAGGCTCCGTTGTGGCACGCCCAAGGTAACCCAACTATTCTTACATAAGAGTCAACATGAGAACCCTAGGCCGTCTGCAAAGTCCTTACACTATCAATCCCTTTTAATGTGTTTTAGTGGGAAGTTAAGGGAAAAGGGTGGGGGTTGTAAAAAAAAAACCAGGAAAGAGAAACCACAATTCACGGAGGAACTAAAAGGTACAGAAACAGGAGTGTGGGGGGTAACTAAAAAAGAAGGGACGCATGTGTTGACGGAATTGGGGAAACCCGACCCCACCAGGGACCTCGGCTCTCCCGAGGGCAAGCCCTCCCGCCCGGGGCCTCCGCCCACTCGACCGCCGGACCCCGCGGGAGCGCGCCCGCAGCGTGCCTCGGCCGTGACACCACCTCCAGCCGCCCACATGGGCTTCCTACCTCCCTGCAGCGCGAGATGCACAGCCCGGCCCTCCCGCCTGTCAAGGGCACTTCTGCCGTCACTTCCTTAGAGGCGGGCCTTAGCGTCACTTCCGGGGACGGGCAACCTGGGGCACGTCTCAGCACAACTGGAGGGTGCGGCTCGGATTTCGGCCAATGGGGATGGCGGGAAAAGTGACAGCTAAAAGGGCGGAGCCTGATGTAGGGACCGGAAAGAAGGAGCTCTGGAGATTGGGGAAGAGGCCGGAAAAGGAAGGGCGGGCCCTAGGGGAGGGACCGGAAAGGCGGTGGCTCTCGGGGGCGGGACCGGAAGAGGCGGGCGGGTCCAAGAGGAGGGTCCGGAAGAGGAGGTGTAAGGAGGCGGGAACGCGAGGGAGGTACTGTTGGGAGAGGAGGGAGGAAGGGAGGTGTGACTCGAGTTTGCAAACTCAGTCTGCTTTAAGCTCAGCCACCACTGCCCATCCTTCTGCCTCATTCCTTGTCTTCCCCAAACTCCTAGAGGTGCTGGAGGTTCTTTCCGTCCATTTTTACAAATGAGGGAGCTCAGCTCTGCAAGCTGTCTTAAGTGTCCGTTAAGAGGCATAAGACTGGGCGTCAGGAGGCCGCTTTTGCCCTTTTCTGTACCACGCAACTGAGTGAGTTCGTGTGCCCCGCGGGCTTTAGTTTCCCAATATGTGGCATGGAGGGCTGGGCTTCTCGTGCATCAGACGGTGTGGATTCTTGGATGGCCTGCCTTTGAGGCCCCAGGCAAAGGCTCTTCAGGCTGCGAGTTCAGAGCTTGTCATCCCAGATGTGCCATCCCAAACGTGCTCCTGTGGGATGTGGGTTGTTTTGAGATGAGGGCAGTTTTAGCCTCAGGCTCAAGACACATCTGCGCTTCCCTTGAACTACCTAGAAGAGATTGAATTAGGGGCCTTGCCCATAATAAGAGATTATCAGCGATAATTTGTTGTTGTTAATCCTCACCTGAGGATATTTTCCCATTGATTTTTAACGAGTGGAAGTGAGGGGGAGAGATAGAAACATCCATGAGAGAGAGAGACACACTGATCAGTTGCCTCCCGCACTTGCCCTGCAACTAAGGTACATGCCCTCGGCTGCAATTGAACCCAGGACCACACTCTAGGGCAGCGATCATCTTTTCCAGTTCATCTACATCAGTGATGTAGATGTTTAATCAGCCAACCACTGGTGGTCCGTGAGGTCCGAAAGGTTGGCGCCCACGGCTCTACCTGACACAGCAAACTTCTATTTACTAAAGGGCTGTTGTTATCATTTTGCAACAATCCTTTGGCGCCCGCAAGGCACCTTTCCCCATCCCTAGCTCAGGATGTCTTCTGTACCCGGTTCTCTTTCTATCTCTGAACCTCCCCTGCATGCGGGGATCTCTGACTGCTATATGCGGGGTTCTCATACATATGTATGAAAAGAAACCTGGTTATATTTTTTTAATATATTTTATTGATTTTTTACAGAGAGGAAGGGAGAGGGACAGAGAGTCAGCAACATCGATGAGAGAGAAACATCGGATCAGCTGCCTCCTGCACACCCCCCACTGGGGATGTGCCCGCAACCAAGGTACATGCCCTTGACCAGAATCGAACCTGGGACCCTTGAGTCTGCAGGCTGACGCTCTATCGGATAGATATCCACTGAGCCAAACCAGTCAGGGCAAGAAACCTGGTTATTTTATCTTGCCAATCTGCCTTGTGTCTATCTGATCAGCTACAAGAACCTGGAGGGCAGAGGAACGTCAGTCCCTCCCTGTCTGACAGTAGGGGTCTAGGCATCTGTGTGTCCCAGGCTGGGGTCACAACCACCTCTTGGCTCCTCTGCACCCGGTACAAGCACTCATGGCCCCTTATGGTTCTGTGACTACATCAGTGTGTTCTTCTCCTCACCCCTGCTTCATATGAAATGTTTTTCTCTCTCTCCACTTGGTTGAACACCTAGACTACTCACCCCCTCTTCTTTGAGCAGCATTAATTGCTTCCTTCTCTGGAGTGCTTTGTTCGTAACTCTCACAGAACACATTGCAGTGTCTGTCTCTTCACTAGACCATATGCTTCCTAAAAAGTAGGGATTTGTAGCTTTCATCTGACTCCATATGCCCAGCACCAACCTGATACAGTGCCTCACTCCCAGGGGATGTTTAGTAGATGCTCCTTAAGCTGCCTATCTTTGGATATCTAAGGGAGTGGAGTGCAGTCAGAGGTTCCATGACTTGTCCAAGGTCTTGAAGCAGGTCCATCTCACACCTCCATTCAGCCTACACTCCAGCCAGTGGGAATCACAGTTGCAGAGTTCTTGTAAATGTCTCCCCTCCCTGTGAGATAGGGTACAGCTGTAATCAGCAAAAACTACAGGAGCTGTGAGGAGGGAGGAAGAGCACCCGCACAACGAATTTGTGGCTTAAAACCAGCAAAGACCAGCTTGATCCAACACGGCAACTAATTTCACCTGGTGGTAACCCCTAGCCTCATTATATGCTCATTACATGCTAAATGACACACCACACCATCATGTTTGGAAAGAGAAAGCCCATATAAGGGCACGGAATGGCTGACTGAGCTCCCCAGAGAAATCTCCACCCTGTTCCCCAGAAGATCTTGAATATTCCTGTCCCTTATTGAATTCCATACACCCCGGATTAAATGCATCTCAATAAAGGCAGCAAATTCTGCTAAAGAGGCTGCTCTATTGGTGGAGCAGCCCATTCTCGGTCTCACTGCTTCACTGATCAAACCACTTTCACTTTAAACGATGCTGGCATTTGAATTCTTCCCCGCAGGAAACCGAGAACCCACCATGGGTCACGGATCCTCTGGTCCCCAGACCTCAGAACACCTGCATCATCTGTACTTCGTGTTGCTGGTCCCTATAACGGGGAGGCTTTTCCCTCTACTCTCCCTCCACCTGAGAAAAGGCTTCCAGATACCAGATTAAGCATCGTCTCTGGAGACCCTTCCCTGAGCCTCCACAGCCCCTGTGCGTCCGCCAGTCAACACACTTGGTACTCTGTTCTTACTGTTTCTTTACCCCTCACTCCTCACTATACTGTCGGCTTCTGTCTCTCCATTGCTTACCTCAGGGCTTGGAGCATCAGAGTAGGCACTCTGATGATCTGTTCCGTGAACAGACAGCAGGGATCCTCATCAAATCTTCCTACCACAAAATACCCTTTTCCCCACCACGTACATAGCCCCATTTTGCCTTCCAAAGTCATTGCCATGCTTTTTCCCCCCAATTCATTTTGATCACAAAATTATTTTTCCTCTGTCCAACTGGCAGGTCCACTCCCTCACTCCCCAGGTGGGCGGGGCCACAGCCACAGCTGCCCAGGGGCCTTCTTCTGGGATGAGGTGAGGGAATATTTGGGGTAGGTGCACATCCCCTGCCCACCAGCAGCCATGTCAGCCAGATTCTACTTAATAAAGCCCCTTGTTCATCGCAGGCAGAAGACTAGGTGAGGGCCTGGCAGCATGGCCTTCTCCACCTTATCTGACTCTTGCTTTAGCCTCTGTCCCCACCTAGGACTGGAGCCAACAGGGGTGATCCACAGGGGGGCCCCCAGCCCCCCTGGCTCTCCTGAGGTCAGCATCCCTGGGTGCAGCTGTTCCTGCTGATGCCCGATGCCATCTGGCCGGGCACTTCCACCCTGTCCATTTTCATTTCTGTTTTTCTGTGTCTCCAGCACTTTCTCTTCCAGAGCCACCTGTTAACCCTATTCAGCATTTCCTCAGCATTTTCTGGAAGGCCAATGCCCTTGCTTAATTCACACTCCAAATCCAAAGGAAAACCAGTCCTATGTATTATTTTAAATTATATATATATGTTTTTATTGATTTTTAGAGAGAAGGGGGAGGGATAGAATCACCAACCCGGGCCAGGAATTGAACATGTGAGCTCTTGGTTCATAAATCAGTGCTCAACAACTCAGCCACTCCAGCTGGGCCTATTTATTCTTACTCCATAGTCACTTTACCTCTGTTAGCCTCAGGCTTGTCATCTGAGAAATGGGAAGAAAGATACCTTCTTCTCAGGGCTGTGAGGTTGCAGGAAGATTGGGGTATGGGGCCTGGTGCATTGTCAGGGCCTGATGAATGATGAATGAATCTCCTTCAGAGGGAAGGAGGGAGCCTGTGAGGCACGCAGAGAAGGTGGCACTCACGCTAGGCCACAAAGGGGCTGCTCAGCTGTAGGGAAGCTTGTCTACCAAGTCAAAGGCAGGTTCAGGGTGCAGGTATAGGGGGAAGAGGTGTGCAGGAGGGGGAAGACTGGCAGCCTGAGCTCAGGGTAAAGCTTCTGCTACCTGTCTGGTATTTATGCGGTTTTTCAGACTGTGATGTGTAAATCACCAGTGGGTTTATGAAATCAATTCAGTGGGTTGTGATCAGCTTTAAAAAGATGAACAGAATTGGAGGACTCTTTCCCCCTCCCCACATGGGAATCTGTGCTTGTTTCTCAATAAATTTCCACCTTTTGCTATAAAAAATAAATAAAAAGATGAACAGAATTGAAAATAGAGTATGCTGCATGTTACAAGTATTTTGTTCGTGTTATTTCTATATGTCTGTATGTCCTAGGTTGTGATATAGAATGTATTCCTTTTTTTTTTTTTAAAAAAAGAAGGCTCTCTGAGTAAGCCAAGTTAACTTTATTTTTAAAAAAATTTTTTACTGATTAATATAGAGAGGAAGGAAGAGGGAGGGATAGAAATACCAATGATGAGAGAGAATCATTGATCAGCTGCCTCCTGCATGCCCCCCACTGGGGATCAAGCCTGCAACCCAGGCATGTGCCCCTGATGGGAATCAAACCTGGGACCCTTCAGTCCACAGGCCAACACTCTATCCACTGAGCCAAACCAGATAGATTCT